AACTCCAAGCCTTAAATAGCGGTTTGAAGTTGCACCACAGGCGCGCATGAGGTGCGTCTGCGGTGAAATTCTAATCATTTGCATATCTCACCTCCGCTAATGCATGTTGTAAATTTCATGTTATTTGCATGCTTCCTTCAGGGTGCTGCATTTATGGTGGCCAGCAGTGTATTTACTTGATTAAATTTTCAAGGTCACAGGTTAAAGTATGCCCAAGAAGAACCATTTCAATTATGAAATGGTGATACAATAATAATCACTGCAATAGCCCCAAAGTTGAATGAAACTACGTAAACTCGCATGCCTTTGCTCGTACAGGTGCCGTATGTCATTTTGCGGGATGATGTTCCATGCCTGTTGCAGTCGGTCAGCCAAATCAGCAACGGTCCGTGCTGATTGTGGAGGACAATGGATTTGTTGTCCAATGATGTTCTACACGTGCTCGATAGCAGAAAGTCGGGTCATTTTGCAGCCAAGGCAACATGTCGATATTCCGTAGAGCAAATTCGGCTACGGTATGAGGACGAGCGTTATCCTATTGGACAATGCCCCTTGGAATATTGCTCAAGAAGGGCAACACAACCGGTGGAGTCATCAGTCTGATGTATGAATTTGCTGTCAAGGCATGTGGGATAATGATGAGAAAGCTTCTGCTCTCGTAGGAAATTGCTTCCTAGGCCATAACTTCTGGTGCAGGTCCAATGTGTCTACGTCGCAACTCCAAGCCCTCACCTGGACTTCTAATCAACATACTGCCATCACTGGCACCAAAATAGAAACGGCTGTTATCTGAAAACACAACATATCTCCACTTCGCCCTTCTCTAAGCTCTATTTTGACACTACGGAGGTCGGATTTGGGGTTAGTGGAATGGCGCTACATATCATCTGGCTCGGAGTTGTTCCTGATTCGATTTGTTATAGTTCTCTGTGTCACTCTGGCGTCCACAAAAGTTGCTGCAGATGCAGTGTGATGTGGCGAATACGGCGGTCTTCGCTTTGTTCTGGCACGTATGTAGCCTGACTATGGCCTTCTTCAGATAGCACCTTCCCGTAAGCACTGCAGCCAACGCGCATGCACAGTACAACGTGTATCTTTATCAAGCTTTTTTTTAAAATATAGAGGAAAGAGTATTCGCCTCTTCCTAGCCCTATTACACAACCTTGTTGAAATTCAGTGAGCTGCTGATACTGCCTTATTGGATCTCTTTAAAAACCTTTTTGACTCAAATCTCGTCACAACGTCCAGTCCGACAGATAAATAAAGCCCACTAACTTTACATCTAAAAAGTATTTAAAGCTAACGCGATTGCATGTTCATAGTGGTGTTACTAACACCACACTTACTCTTCTAGCGCGAAATTTGCGTACATCTTTCAGATGGACAAACACGTTCCCGAATTTCGTTCATCTAGCGCAACTCCTTCGTGGTACTGGGATTTAATTTTCCATCAGTGTATCTACAATTAATAGGAGGGGGACTGGATTCAAATTGCAATTTTTCATCTGAAATAACTGAAAATTGGCACATTCTTTCAATGTGAAGGGTGCAGTCGGTCAATGTATACTCCTATAAATGAGTAATATGTAATCTAATAGAAATTTGAAATCTGCTTCCTTTATTTTCTATATTCCCGTACGCAACGAGAAATGTTAGATATCGTTTGATATCGCATTAAACAAAATAGGAGTTATAGCTTCTGAATTCACAAACTGGAATTTTGCTAAAATGTATATCAGCCGGTTTATTCACTTATTTGTCTATTTAATTCGGCAGGGCAAAACATAGAAAGATTGTCAGCCTTTAAGATAATTTTTTTTTTAGTTTGATCTATAGAGTTTGTCAAGACATGGTCTGATGGTTCACGGACTTCGTATAGTTTGTAAGTTATTTTCTCTCTCCTTCCAACATGCCTTCGTGGTGTAACGGTTAGCACACTCGGAGTGTATTCGAAAGGTTCAGTTTCGAGTCTCAGCGAGGGCCTTGCTCATTTTTCATGTCTTTCTGCTTCGAAAAATTCCTAATGACTCTACAAGTTTTTAACACAAACAGTAGCATGGATACTTAGGATAAATGCTGGCATTTCTATCGTTCTTAGTTTAAGAAAAAGGGGAAAGTGTATACACTAAACATTATTGAAAGTGTCACCATTTTGGTATTGTCCGTCTTAAAATGTAGCACATGAACGGCTTTTATGGTGAACAAATAACAAAATTTTATGTACGACTTTTTCTGGATACACTTGATATTTTTAATTAAAAAATTGCTCGATTTCGCAATTATTTCCTAATGAAAAACTTAGTTACATGATAACTGCTTTTATGTAAAAATGCAGATTTTAGATCAAAATTAAATTTATAATTTTCACAGAATTATTTTTCTGATGCAAGTCATGTTTAGATGGTAACTGGAATCAAAATAAAAAAAAATTAAATTAAATTAAAAAAAAAAATACTAAAAGCACTTTCCCCTGCAAGTGTTTAAATTGTTGTACAAAAAGTGCTTAATTTTTTATCCTAAATTTTCTTGAGGTAAAATCTCTTTAAACATAAAGGACGCTAATGTTTCATGAAAATACTTAAAAACATATATAAACAGAGGATTACATATTTTCAAAAATTAGGTCTTATTTCCAGTAAAAATTGAAAGTTAAAATCTACTTTAATTGCGATGTATTGAATTTTACTTTTTTGTACAGCAAATATATTGCAACAGAAGCAAATTTTGGTAATATGGCTACTATTTTAAGAATGTGAACTATTAAATATTACTATTTTTCATCTTTAAAAATATTTATTATTCAAGAAGGTAAGTAACGGTATCTTACGCAATTTGTCTGTGTTTGAATGGAAGGGTTTATCACCGACTTCGGAGATGTCCTTTAACATCAGCACATTTTATCACTAGTTTCCTTACTTTGGATAGGTGAGCTATTTTGTATCGAAAGATAAAACTCGCTTCGTGATTACACGCACTGACAATGGATGCCACAAGTGGCTTTAATTTAAACCCATTTGAAAACGCATCTGATTGTCTTTAAGCAGATATTTATTTGGTATAAGTGCCGAAAGATATATGAATCCATCGTATAGTTCAATATCTGTTGAGTACACATTTAAGTAATTACTAAAATCAGAATAACTTTGACCTTCTGGCAGAGTAATTATTTCCAAATTTACAAGCTATTTTACCTGCGGCAGTGAGTTAAATTTAGGCTAATATCCCTTTGGGCTAACATTGACAAACAGCATAGCTTTAGAATTTCCGATAGGTACTCTCGCGCGGTATTAAAATTTTAAATTAAAAAAAATTAGAATTTTTAAGATAAAAATCCCTTTTCCGTATAGTGTTGCCATTGCTCGCTTTGAAATTGTAGAGTTTGTTAATAAAAAATTCATTAAAGTTTTACAAAGTATGAAAAAGACAATAAAACAAATTTGAAATTCAAAATTCGGGCTTTCAGGTACCTATGTTTGGATGGAAGACTAGGTTATTCAAAATTTGATGGCTCAAGGTACCGTTGTTTTCAGACAATGCGAGAAACATGCATACATTCATACAGATTCTTTATTATTTAATTTCTTTAAATATAATACAGGGCGATAATATTTGATGACATCAGTTTGAAAAGTGATTCAATGCTTTTAGGGATTCCACAAAAAATGCCATTTTGAGAATAGTAACTCATCAGGGTTAACACCCCTTTGGGCTAATGAAATTAGCATTGACTGAAATCTTATTTTTAACACTAACTAAAGATATAACTGACTTAATTCAAAGTATTTTATATTATTATATTAATTATTATTAATATTTATTTTTTATTATTATTTCAAAGTTTTCTTAAATAAGCTAGGACAATTCACTACATGCACATCATTTTGTAAGAAAATTATGCCCTTGTTTATTTCTAACGAATTAATTGTTGGTAAATCATGAAAAATGTTTTCATAATTATCAGAATAATTATTTATTTCTGTAAAAAAGCTTCATAGATCCGATTATTAATTCATTTGGTTATTCGTGAAATATTATTTCAAAACGTCAGATTTCCAATTTAATATTTGCTGATGATATGTTGATCAATCATGCAAATTCGTTAGAAATTCTAACTGAATGTTTGAAAAAATAAAAAAAAAAAAAATATTTTATAACTCAGTTATAAATGCATGAATACTTCAGTAAGAAATATTATTAATTTCTCCACTTTCGTTTTAATTCGAGGGGAAAAAACACAATAATGTTTCTTAATTGAAAGTAATTAAAATTTGAATATTTCTTATTTTAACAGTCTTGGTAAATTTAGAAAAATATTTAGTGTATATGTTACTGTGAAAGACTGAAATTGAAGAATGTCGACTTTCACCGGAGAATGTGAACTTTCACCAAATACGTCGGTGAAAAGATCGAATATTGCATTACATTCTTGTACATTTGACCCTTACCGGTGCATTTCGACAATCACAGATATGCTCTGGTGTAGGTCGAAAAGAGAGGAGCATATGTACACGCTGTCATTGCAAAAGGAAGTGTTCCACAAATAAATGCAGTTGTAAAAGCAAGGGCTTCTTGTGCAATTCAAAGTGTCATAATAGTTTAAGTTGTTGCAATAAATAAGATTTGAATCACGTAATTTAGCTATTATTTTCCTTTTTCGTTTTGAATGTACTGTGTGTTTAAAGTTTTTATGTTCTTAAGTTCTTATTTTAAGTTTCAAGTGCGTTTTTTCGCGACTGAATTACGGAGAAGGAAATATAATATTCTTATATGTTCAACATTCACCATTAGTACATGGTGAATGTCGACATTTACCGGTGTAAGTCAGAAAAAAGAGTATTTGAAAAATATTTTGGACATACACCAAGCGACTATGTGAATGTTGACATTCTCCAGATTTTGGTGTTTCACCGTAACATATATACTAAAATATATTTGAGTAGCACAAATTTCAAAATGACGAGAATCGCACTTGGGCTTGCGTGCTAAAATAATGCATAATATTAATTAACTACAAAAATTTATTACCTATATCAAATAATGGTATACTTATTATTTTTTAATAAAAAATAATTATTGATCACATAATGCTAGCTATTTAGATATAGTACATGTAATCAGCACGTGAATGTAATCTGTAAACACCATGTTGTCAGTACCAGAGAAGAATATTTAAGCTTTATTCCGTTTTCCCCTCTAAAATAAAACACTCTCTCTGAAAATTTTACATTTCCCAACCACTTGCAATGTATGCTGTAGCTCACAATTCACATAACAAAGCGAATTACTCCAGTGTTAAAGTCTAGAAGTGTTTAAAATGAACATACAATGAGCATAAGTATTCACATTCCATATGTAGTTGAGCATTTTACAGCGCAAAAGATATTGCGCCTTAGTATAACATTGATGATGATACATTGGGTACCACGCCAGATGTTCCACAGCTATACCAAACAGAGAAAAATAAATCTTGTGGTGTTGTCTCACAACTTTAGCACATAAGGAAGGCATATTTAGCCGTCCGCATTTTTAAATTTCTGTTGAACAAAACTGATGTTGCCTGTATCCAATACAGGCCATATAATAAAATTCAAATCCTTTCTTAAAATTTCATAGCTGTCACACTCTTGGTAAATGAATCTCAGAATACGGTGGAGGTGGCGTTCTACACGGCATGTCTGCACATAATTGTGGTTCCTCATATAAGATAGTGCCATATAACGTTGAATTACTGCTTGAGTTACATGGTCCAGTCATCCTTGTTGGCGTTCTTAGAGGTCTTCCATTGCTACTGCCTAATAAGGCTGAGGTGTGTATTATCACTGGCAATCCAGTTTGCACATCTATTGCGGTGATATATCGCCTGCGAACATTTGGAGCGACGATTAAACTGTCACCATCTTTGGATCGACTGCATTGTTTGCAACACCAGCTGATGAACAGGACGATAAACAATGCTCCAAGCAGAAGAACGAAAACAGCAGGTACGGGATTCGTGACCACTTCCATTCTTAAGTTCTGCTCTGTTTTTAACATCTGCTCTGCACCGGATTCAATTGTTGATGGTGATTGTTCTAAAAGTAATTAAAAGAACAAAAATCAGAGATGACAATAAGACAAGAAGAGATAAATTAAAAAAAAAAAATCCTCCCTTTGTGAATTTTTTTGTGTTTTTCTCCCCCTTCCTCCCATCATCTATAGCAGGGGTCTCGAAAGATTCTAGCTCGCGGGCCATATTGGCTCTTTCACGAAGCTTCGAGGGCCAGAATCCAGTTACCACGTCATACCACGGCGATGCAATTATGATGAACAGCATAAACGTTTTTAAACGAGGCAATGAGAATGGATCCATACACTATGATCTTAACGAAGAACCTTGTTTTTTATACTTTCATGCAGTTTTACCTAACATGTAGTAATGCATCCCCCTTTTTGGTTGCAATCGGCTGCTTTAAAAGTATATGTATATCCACTCTTGTTATCCAGCTCGTGAACTCAGTTTTTTTAATGTTGGTAAATTGTGTACTTTAAAAAAATGACTGAATTTATGTTCTTACATTCCGGTTAAGGTTTTTATGACTTTAGTTAATCTGTATACAATAGTTGTAGAATTATCAACAATTTAAAAGTTGTTTAAGTATTACTAAGCCTAACGAAGCCGCCATTTGTTTACATTAAAAATTTTTGTTTTGTTTAAAGATATTTTGAGTTTTCATGTATTTTTGCTTTGCCGCGAAGTGAGAACTAAATTGATTGAAAGAGATACATATCCCTAATGAAATCTTAGGAAGTAAGTTTAAATGAAGTGTGGCAAAAATATGTGTGCAATTTAACAGAACGTACGAGAAGGTCATGTGTGTGTCCACATGAGATTTTTTATATAGAGTGTTACTGTTTTTCACTCATTGTAAATTTAGAAACGGTTATATAATGTTTTATATAATTTTTATATGCCTAATAATGAACTTGCATGATAAGCAACGCATTTCTCGATTGGCTGCTGTATAAAATAGTTAATGTGTATTTTATTTGTTACTTTAAATTTTATTAAATTATTTTAAAGAAACTCCTTGCGGGCTGTATTACTAGTGCTCACGCGCCAGATTCGGCCCTTGGGCCGTAGTTTGGAGACCCCTAATCTATAGAAAAGCTCTATGATAGAATTTTCAAAGAGTTTTTGCCATTTATTTTGAAAAATCTCGTATTGACATAACTTCATGTTGTATGCTTGAATCTTTCAATTTTTAACACTACAAATTCACAGTATTTTTGTTAAAAAAAAAAAAAAAAAAAAAAAAAAAAAGTTGCTTAATATTATTCTAATAATAAAATCTGTAGATAACAGATAAAGTTGAAAGTTATTTAAATGACTGACACATGTCAACATAGTAGCAAAACTACACATTTATTAAATTGTTTGACTAAATTTGGTTAAATTGTTTATTAATAAGAATTAACTGCTCGTTTGCTTTTGCGCTTTAGATTTTTTTTTTTGCATGTTTATAATTGAAATTTACATATTGGAAATTTCAATTTAAATAGAATTGTAGAAGAGTTATTCTGTTACTTTGTTTTTAACAAAAGTCTAAAGAAAAGTGTTTGTTACACATATTCCTTAAAGCTTACGTTAAACAAAGAAATACTAAAATATTCAGAAAAGTAACATCACATACAGTGACTCGTACAGTATCACGTACAGTAACTCAGCAATCAAAATAGAAAAGAAACACACAGTAAAACGTAAAATTAGCAAAGCAACAACTTTGTGTTTGGCGTAGATTTTAGTCAAGACTTTATCGATTTCAAGGGCAATCAGGAACAGGTCCCTTTTCATCAAGAGCAAAGAAATCTGCAACGAAGAGGAAACCACGATTGTATTTATTTTCTAACAATATTCACACTGTAAAAAAATTCTTTTGAAGTCGTCGATAAACTTAAAGATATATTATTTTTAAACTTAAAAATACACCTTCCCCCTTGTGCTCCATTGTGGTTTCTTCTATTGTTAAATCACTGTTAACTAATGCTTACCAGTCGAAGGAGCATTAAAATGTCTGAAAACAATGTTTCCAGAATTCCATTTCATACATACTGAAACTGAAATGTTAATACTAAAACAGTGTTAATTTCTGTTACAAAGGTCTCTTTGAGTCAAACTCGCTTTGTTTTCTAAAATAAATATTCTTACCAAATTGTATGATTAGCTACGGATAATCCCTTCAGTCCTGTACTTGCTGACATTTACATATACAGTTATTTGAGAAACTCTCTTTGCGTGTTTGGATTCACTACACAGATAATACTTTTGTAATTTTTGATGGTAATAAAGAAGATTTATCCCAGATTATCTGTTATAAATCCGACTGATCAATCCATTCAGCTCACTTTTGAAACTGAATCTGATAATACCCTTTCCTACCTTGATATTCTTATCCGCAATGAATCTGATTTCATAACTACTGTTTACCGTAAGCCTTTTCTTTCTATTTGCCTTCTCATACTAAGTCATGCCAGTCGAAAGTTTGTTCCTCAGTATTTTTGGTTGCTAATGAACTCAATTATTTGAAATCAGTTGTCATTGACCATTAATAAAAAGCCATGGTTCAATTTTTAAAAACTCCATTTCAGCCTTCAGTTCTTGGCGAATTTATAGCATATCTTATCAGCATTATCTAAAACAGCATTAAAGTTTCACATCAAGAAATATGAATCATATGTTCAAAAAGGCGAAATTAACTAGTCTTCGATAGCTAATCGTAATTCGAAATTTTAGTCACAATTTTGACTTTGGGTCTGCAAAAATTATCCAGAAAACTTCTCCCATCAATGGATTTTCTTGAAACTTTTCCCATTCACAAAGCTTTATCTTGTTTAGTTAATGACTGTAAGTCCAATCCAGTTGTTCCGTCTTTTCGGTAGATAGGTGGCGCTCTTGATGCGCGCCGATAAAAAATATTTTCACTTGACGCTTGAGCTTGAAGAATGACGCACGTCATACCTTTTTTTTTTTTATGCTTGATTATGTTTTCATGGCCGCTATAGGCGGAAGTAATATACTATATCATTAAGTTTATCGTTAATAGATGTTATTTCTGTGTTCTGTGAAATCTTGAAGTTTTAATTTGAAATTCTAATGCTCTCCCAACCTGTTTCCTGAAAACGAAATCAACTTGAGAAATTATGACTCATGAAGAGACACCACCAGTCCTTCCTAACGCTTTTAAAATTATATTAACGTTATTTTTCAAATTTCTTTACTATTTCTACTGACAGATGGCGTTACCTCCCATTCGCTTTACTCCTTGTATACAACCGTGGCTTTTTCTTCGTTGTAGATTTCTTTGCTGATGGAAAAAGGAGCTGTGCTTGTTTGCCCTCGAAATCGATAGAGTCTTACGGGGGGGGGGGGGGGGGGGGGGGGGGGGGGGGGGGGGGTGGGGGACTAAAATCTATGCCAAATACAAAATTACTGCTTTGCCGACGTATAAATCTTTCAGAAATTATTAAAAAAAAAAAAAAAAAAAAAAAAAAAAAAAACAAGACAATCCAAATGAAACATGAAAGACTAATTCGAAGAAAATTCTTATCATATGGCATAGAAATGTGCTGACGATCACAATAAGAAGTACCAGTTTTAGAACTGAAATACATATTTTAGTTAGCGCTTACATGGCGGTTTAAAAAATTTATAATTTAAAGTAATAAAAAACCTAACTTTGGCATAATTTAATTCATTTTAAAATGGGGGGGGGTTGTCTATAGACTTTTATGGGAAGCAATTCAGTAAAAACAATGGAGGAATTGACAAAAAATTCCGGTTTGGGCTGCTTGAAAGCGCAAAGGTCCTCCTCATAAGTTAAACAACGCTAGGCTGTATGCTATACAAACGATGCTGTAAAATTGAAGAATTTAAAATAGAAAATTCTCCAGAAACGACCATATTCTCTACTCTCCTCTTTTAACTTATCATTTATTCTGGTCTTTGCAGAATAGTTTGAATTATAAGAAGTTCGATTCTGCAGAAGTTGCCAAAACTGCCTCAAACTTTCCTTGCAAATGTTGTTATCTTCACTCCCAGAATAACAATACAGCACATTTCTCTGTATCCTTTAGGGATAAAGTCTGTATTTATGACTGCAAGGTTGTTCTTGACTCTGTTTAGGAAAGTGAACGAGTCATTTCTTTAGAATGAGTCTTCAACCATTGAAAATGACTTAGCGGTTAAACTGTCTAAGGCTGTCTCTGACTTACCTGAACCATACTGTTGCTGATTTTTCTACTGCGAAGAGAATTTTTAAGTGCAAAATGTATATCGGCGAAACCTCTGGAAAATTGGATGGGAAGAAGTAATGTGGTTCCATTTTGAAGAATCTAACTTTCTAAAATTTTCCACCAGCTGCAGATGTGGTCAAAACTAGCCATAACTCAAAACTAGCCATAAGATCATTTCCATCATATGTTACCGGCAGATTCAAACGTGCCCATTACATAGTCTGGCTGACATGATTGATGACTAATTCTATAATTGCCTTGATCTTAATGATACTGCAGACAGTAATTCTTAAAATGTTAACTTTTTATTTGTTTCAAGATTTTCTGGACTACCTGACAGGGATTAACGGTGTAAAAAACCGAGGTACAAAATTAGAAGGAAAAAAAAAAAAAAAAAAAAAAAAAAAAAAAACTTGTGAATACCCAAGCTTATAAAACATTAGATATCATCGAACTTAGTCGAGTCTTTGCCATGACAACAAATAATCTTTTACCGGCCGCCCAGTCGGTATAGTGGTCAGGGAAGCTGACTGCGATGCTGAAGGGCTTGGGTTCGAATCACGGAGAAGGCATGGTTGTCACTGTCCGTCCCTTTATAGGAAAGGCGACGGTGGCCCACGTGTTGGGTGCCTCCGTAATAAAGAGACCACTACATCCGGCCATGTATAGATTAATGGACTGGGTTACATTTGTAATTGTTCACAATCTGCCATTGGAAACAAAAATAATCTTTTACCAACTTATCAAATGAAGAAAGTAGTAGATAGCGGTTGTTAATACGAGTCGTACAATGTTGGCCATTAAAACTGCTGTACTATGAAGGAAATCAAACTCCAGAACCTTATTTATTGTACCTATATAGTATAATGGGAGGTAGACAGAATTAAATTTTCACGTGATTTGGGGTACACAGCGCGCAGAATTTAGTACACAGAGCTGTTCATCTCTTGGAGGAACAACGATTATAATCCGGCTAGGCATCCGGTCAAACTCATCTTTGATGTCAGATACGGGTACTTTATTCCATGTGCTTTCAACTTTAGGCCAGAGTTCACCAATCGTAGTGACTGGCGAGTATTGGCGTGCCACTTTTTCGGCAAACCATGACCAGATGTTTTCAGTTGGACAATCCTCTGTATTGAGGAATGTTAGGACAGCATGCACAACATGTATTCATGCATTATCTTATTGAAAGATAGCGTCAATCAGGCCTCGAAGAATGATCACAGCCACGGGCCCTAACACGTTATATATGTAATGGTGGCTCTCCGTATTACCAGCTGTGCGAATCAGAAGCGATCGGGGTTTATATCCAACCACACTCCATACAATCACACTACGTGCTGGGCCCCACAACGATGAAGAATACAATCTGGCAACGTTCGTTCTGACAAAGTTTGCCCATCACGATGCGATATGCAAAACAGGGATTCGTCTAAAAAGACGACGTGGTACTGCCGATTTTCGTTACACCATTGTAGGCGCGTCTGTTTCTGCTACAGCGTCAGGAAAAGCTGCAACAGTGGTCGTCTTGGCTGACAGTTTATGACGTTGCAGACATCGTCGCACTGTTTGTGCGCACACTTGTCGTTTTGCACACGAATAAAGTACATGGACACATCGATATGCCCAGTAGTCGTGGAGTCCCGATCAACACGACCAGCAGTGTCACGGAACGATAAACTACAGTCTCAATAGGCCATGATCCAGCTGCAGTTCCTGGTAGGTCTTTCTCCTTCTTAAACGAGACGTAACATGACCTTTACATGTACAACCAATTCTCAAACTCGATTTCCGAATGAGAAATCTGTTGTGCAATTTTCCCATTTATATACAATGTAGTTGCTTTGTGCAAATGCGTTGGAATGTTACTCATTTGTATATCCCAGTATGTAGTAACTTTCATGGAAATTTGACTTTTGCTGTTTTCATAACATAAGAATTTTAATGGCAGCAATTTAATATATTCTGACACGATATATTATTTAAAAGAATTTGATTGGACAGCAATACATTTTCAGAATGTCTATTTGTAACTATTAGTAAGTACATATAACTATTAGTAAGTACAGTACTATTAGTAAGATAAGATAGATAAGTATTCAAACACCAACCCTCAATTGAAAAGCGCGAAAATTTATACATTGCTACTAAATATCCATTTTTACACCTTCGAATTTAGCATAAATTTAAATTGAATATATTTGTAAGTAATGAAAGGGAATATGAACTGTCTAATACCCAGGTACGAATTCTAAACTTGAACGTTGATTTAAAATTTTAAAATAAAACTAAATTATTAAAAAAATAATTGTATTATTTAACTAAAGCTCTTAATGCGCATATTATATAAATTTGAAAACAAATGTTTACGAAAATCCTGAAATTATCATATGAAAAAAAATTTACAAATATAAAAAATAATAAAATAATAATGATAAATAAAAAAAAATTATAAATAAATAAAAAAAGAAGCGAAGAAAAAATTCCGCAAAGTACTTATTTGATAGCACATTTGACACATCTTGGCCAGCGAACTGTTAACTTGAGATACATAATACACTTTTTGGAGGAGTTTATTATATCAAAGCAATACACCGTCCCTTCGAATATGAATACAAGATAAGTAATAAATTAATAATAATACTGCTAAGTTTTATTTCGCCACTGAAATATTTAAGCTCTTAAAGAATAGTCAAATATGTAATTAATAAAAGAAAATAAAACAAATTATCAATAACTTTTCATTTAAAATAAATTTGTTGAAAATATGAAAATAAATTTGTGTTAAATTTAACTTTATTTTATGCGTTAACATCTCATTATCGAGTCTTAAATGCTCGAAGTGAAATCTAGTAATTCCGAATAAAAAATAAAAGAAGAAATGATAGGTTAAAAATAAATACCTTGTTTGCATAAATAAAAATATCCAGCCACTAAGCAATATAGTTTAATCTTCAGACTTTTCAAGGGTAAAGTCCTAAAACATAAAAATCGTCATCATCTAATAATGCTAAACTAATTCCTTCTAATGCTAAATCCTATTATTATTGTGGACTCGATAACGAAGGTCTCTATCGCAAAAGTTGAGCCAAATAGGTTAAAAGTGTAACTCTGTCCTTAGTAACTAAATGGATCATTCCATCTATCTAGCTTCAGATTAGCGTACCGAGGAAGATTAAATCGTTCACGCCAAAAGAGATCAAATATCAATCAGAAGAAAGAAATTTCATCTGATAAAATTAGAATTTTTTTTTGCATACTGAACTTGACACCTCTTATAGATTAATGAACTTTTGATATATATCTTGTTCTAGACGCATTTTTGGATGCATTCAGATTAGCTATCACGTTGTTTACCAATGTGCGATAAATTTAAGCCAGGAACATTGTATACTGGATTGTAAATGTTCAAATTTTAATATTTATCATTCTGAGGAAAATTAATTTAATGTGTTGTAAATGCTGCGCTTTTTTCTTCGTTATAAAAGGAAACGAAGTATTTTGAAGACAAAATGAAGTTATTTTACAGTAGGCCGCAAAGATGACATCTGTTCTATGTCCAGCCATGTGTTAAATGCTATCCGAGTAGTACTTTTTATTATAAATATATATATGTGTGTGTGTATAATGCTTTAGTTTTTGAGAAAGGTGAAACCAATTCACTCTTTAGTCCTGGTCGAGCAAAACTGCTGCATAGATGATTGGAGGGAAAATCATACCTGGCTTGTTCGTTGAAATATCATATTTTTATTTCTCACAGGAAAAATTCTTCAGAAATACATATTTGCTTAAATTCGTACCACATTATGGATGCTAAACGCGCCATACAGTTTATATATACGCAGTTTACATTTCAGATAATAGGAAAAAAAAAAAAAAAAAAGAAGCTTAGCGAAGAGACTCGACTAGGCAGAGGAAGCATGAGAAAAAAGTGATGCATAATAACTGCAGCTGTATTTATAGCTCGTAAAGTCTTTGTTTTAATCCTGAGCAACAACTAGGTTAAAGATTTCACAGTGCAGAGAAATTGCAAGGAAAGAGTGACGTAACATGATGCAGAGTGAAACAATGGTGCAAAGCGTATCCTTGAAGCGAGGATGCGTTTAATTAAAATTTATGAATTAAAAGGTCTATTACCAATTGACCTTAAGTTTAATAATTTGTTTTATATTTTATGTTTTACACATACACATAAAATAAATATATAAAATAAAGTAAAAATTATTACCTGAACAGAATCTGCTGAACATATCACAGCAACGGAATTACAAAATGATGGACGGAAACGGAACAACGAAAATGTAATAATCAATACCTTTTAATTTCAGTTCACTGTATGTAGAAAACTAGCATACATCATTACATATAATTTTATGTACAGCACTTCATGCTTGTTAGGAATATTTACATGACATCAAGATATGTGTAAAAAACCAACACAGAAGAGCATTTAAAAACAACTTTGAATATTCAGAAAGGCTGAGATACATTACAGCATTACACGTAATAAATTAAAAAGAAAAAAAAAATCATACAAAATACATAAAATTGGATACATAGCACTTGGGTAGTAGTATTTGACTAACAAAAAGAGTATATATAGTTCTTAGACAGCAAAGTTTTATAGATGAGAAATTCTCGCCCCAATATGTAGAAGCACAGTTAATCCTACTTAGTTAATCTCAAATTGTGCATCTTTATTAGGAAGCCTATGCAGTGCCCAGGCAGTCCAATAATCAAGTGTCAGTGACTTGAGAAGTGGAAAAAGTCACTTAAATATGTAGTAGCCAGGTTGCCAACCCCGCTACATTCTCAGATGTTTGTGTCACTATACTCAGATCAATTTAAATAGGGCAGAAAAGGGCTGTGACTTCTTATATAGAGTTGATTTGCCAATTTACAATTCTGTCCTAATTTTAGGCAACAGCTGGAGAGTACGCCTGCCTCTCGAAGCTAAATCGCAGCGTTCTAAGGAGATACGTGAAGATGACAGTTTTAAGAAGGAAACTGGGAGTGAAATCAAGATCATGTGTTGCTCTAAAAAAGAAGGTATTCTTCGCAATTTGAGCTGCCGCTCGTTTCCCAGAATAACAGCACAGAATAGGCCTCTTATGCGCTGGGGCCATTTGAATACCCAAGAAACTACGGCTTCTGTCTACTGAGTATGAGACAAGACTAGCGATATAGTTTCTGTATATCGCCGTTGTATCCTGGTGGTGAGGCTGCAAATAGTCAGTCACCACTCTTAAGGATATTAATTCTGCTTGGTGCACTAAATTGTTATGTCCTGTTCTCCATCCAGATGACAAAAGTTACAGCCTGCACCTGATGCTATCTGTTTGCAGAGAACTATGTTTTGCGCGATAAACTGATTGAGCAAAGAAAATATTCTACTGCAATTTGAGTTGGGTCAGATGGCAACTAATTTATCGGATTATGCTTTTCGTAGTTAGAGCGATAATAAGCAAGTTCTCATAACTAGTTGACAAATTAAGTTTTGTTGTTCTCACCACCATATCCTTTTGTTTAACCACTAACTCTAGTGGGAGGGGAAGACTAGCAATGACTTGGAAGGCAGATACTGGTGTAGTATGACATGCTGCACATATGAGAAAAAGCTGTTGCCATTATAACATGAACAAGCTTTCTCCTCATATGTGAGGTCAGTTTAAATCTCCAGACATGAGCTGCATGAAGCACTATCACTTTGCAACTGTTTGATGCCTTGTCCTCAGTACTGGTGAGGGAATGCCCCATTTTAATGAAGTTATGCTTTGAATGTTATTGATAAACATATTAATTTTATGCTTTAAATAACGTAAATGATAAATGGCTGTCAATAATGAGACCCAGGTATTTGAATTCTGAGCTAAATATAACAGGAAAGCCCAAAAATATTGCGTTGGGGTTTCGTCTTAATACTTTTTTGAGACCTCTCACAAACGCCCTCGTTTTTGAAAGCCAAGATCTGTAAGTTATCGGACAGAAATTCGCCTAATACTTCATAAAATGCCCAGTTTTTTTACACTCTCTAAATACTTCAGAATATGGAAACAAATTTTTGGGGCATCCTTAAAAACATCTTCTTTATACTGTGCTTTTAGAATAATGCATCAGTAAAAGAATCTGCTGCACATTCTATATCCAAATTTTGTCGAGTGCTCCAAGTTACTTAGATATTATTTTACTCCTGAAGGGGTTAGGTGAGTGATCTTATTACGAAGAATGTGCTATGCTTTAACATGATTGCTACAAATTGTACGGTGGACAGTAAGCCATCAAAAAATAGCGTCAAATATGAATGATGCTTAATGAAGTAAAACTCGTGCATTGTTACGTGAGTTTATACTTGGCAGGAAAGCTGCAATGTCGATCCCAAATACACACGTATATAGGAATTTCTGTGTTTAAGATTATCAAACCTGAACTCCAATACAGGCAACTGGAAGATGCTTCAAACGCAAGCAGACCATCAGCATGAATGCAGTCTTGGCAAGGTAGCATTTGTTTCAGAAATAGACAGATGCAATAGTCTGTGATCATCTGCGTGCCGGTGGGAATCGCAATACAAGGTCCCAAAGGCAGCGATAAACTCTACTTAATTTTTCTCAACGTTTTCTGGCACTATGCTGGATATCGCAGAGTATCATCCACTCCCTAGCCAAGGCTAAACTGACACTGAAATTGCATTCTCGGCTTACTGACCATTCTTAAATTTACTGACGATTTAAGTTTATTTACATGCAACTGTGTTTTTCATGTACTTCAAGATAGTTTTACTCTGCCCGTGTGCAAAAAATTTGACCTAAATATTAAATAATGTGCTTAACTTGGTTGCTTCTTTGCTTGTATTTTTAAAAACGAGTAAAGGCACTTAAGGTTATGCTGATATCGCAGATATCAGCATAAAAACCATAATGCACTCCCAAAATGCATTCTACTTAAATGTCATCTACGTTTCTGGCACGAAATGAAATTTATGGGCAACGAAAGAAAATGCCTAAATCTATTTCCGGCTGCCAACCTTTACGGTTACTAAAATAAGCTTGTTTTTTTAAAAACGCCAAGTACATGCCCTCTCAAATTAGTTTCGAGTGCTTTGTGCAAAAAATTTGACAAGTGAATAATAAAATGTTTCTCTTCTTTTCTAAAACGGTTATAGAATTTCTCCAGGCCCTTGATTTTAATCTAAAATAAATTTACAAAACAACTAACTAATGAGAATTTACTAGTCTGATCATTTAATGCATTAAAAAAATTTGATATTTGCTTAAAAATAAAAATTAGAAAGTGTGTAAAAAAAATTTAAAAAAAAAAATTAAAAAAGATTGTTTTTGTGAATAGTGACACTCTTCTTTCATTTCGCTTTTCAAATTTTTATACTAATGGGGAATAGATTCTCGAAATCAGTTGCTCCTACACAGTTTTTTGAATATGTTCCATAATTCCCCTTAAAAACTTTCAGAAAATTAGAAAGTGTTATAGGAAAGTTTTATCTAGATTAAAAAGGTGCATAAATCTATTAATTAGTGCCATTTGAACAATAATTTGTTACACGGATGGGTCCGGTTGACACGCGCTAGATCTAAAATTTGTTCTTTTTTTCGTCCCCATTTATTTAGACGATATCAAACACATAAAAGATATAATTTTTTAAAACATAGGTTTGCTTTTTAAATATTGATTTCAGTAGCTGATAACGATAGCTCTAGTTGGGACTGACATCAGTATTTGTTCAGCGTTAAACGCACAAAGCAGAGCCTTAGAGATAAAAGAAAAATAATGGGCAATTGAGTTGAGATAAAGGAGCTTTAACGAAAATATTTCTTGGGTTATTAATTCGAAAGATGTTGAGAAGAAATTTTATACTTCAGAACAAACATATATACCCAAACTGAAAAAGCACGAAAGACAGTTTTGCCGAAAGAGAAAGAAAATATCTGACGAGAAACCGTTAGATTGGTAAATATATGCATTTATAAGAATACTAGCTTTACCCGCGTTGATGTCCTTAAATAAGTTTCAAATACCATGAATTTTAAAAATACACTTCGCGTAAGATTTCAGTAAATACTGCCCTTCGTCAATACCTATAGGCCGCGGATATTTTGTATTTACGCCTGACCAAAGGGTTATGTTTAAAAATGAAGAACATTCAAGCGCCTTAAAACTATA